CCTTCGGCTCAGGTCATGATCCTGGAGTCCCTGGATCGAGTCCCGCATCGGGCTCCCTGCTTGGCAGGGAGTCTGCTTCTCCCTCTGACCCTACCCCCCTCTCATATGCTTGCTCTCTCTCATTCTCTCTCTCTCAAATAAATAAATAAATAAATAAATCTTTAAAAAAAAAAAGAAGACATAGCTGGAATGCTGGGGAATGGGAAGAGGAGAAGGAAGGAGAAAGAATGGTTCCTGGCTCAAATATGTGTAGAGGAGTACTTTCCCTTCCTGGAGGAGTGTTTCTTGAACACCAGCATAATCAATCACCTTAGGAGTTTAATTAGTAAACAGACTCCTAAATCCTAATGCCAGCCACTCAGATTCCTAAGTATCATATGTGGCCTAGGAATCCCTGTTTTTAACAAGTATCCCAGCCAGTTTTAATGCTGGTAGTACCTTCACTAAATTTCGAGAAACAGCTGTAAGAAGTTTTCCTATAATCTCATCCAGCTGTGGTTGTAAAGATGCTCGATAAGGTACTGAATAGGTGTATTATATATATATTTATAGATATATACAATGAGAGACAGGAATTCCTTGGACTAATGCCTCTGGCACCATTATTGTTAAGCAGTCAGTATACCTAAGAAAGATAGCAGGCAATAACCCCAGTCTTCTGAAGAGAGCAAAGGAATCAGAATAATTTTTAATAGAGAACAAAAATTCTGAAGTAAAACATTGAATCCCTTTACACTTGTGGAGGTATTAAACATACAGATGAACCAATCTTCTGTTTTCATGAAAGGCTAGAGGAAGGGAAATAGGATTTCAATGCTGCATAAAACCTTTGGATAAAGCACATCAAAGAAATCCTTGACTCAGAATTGTGCAATGTTGGAAAGTCTCCAGGTTAGAAAATCTTTAATATCTAGGCGTACTTACATGTGTTTAGAGGCTGAACCAGGTAGCAAGATTTTTCACATTAGAATTTTGTCTCCAGATTACTTTACCTACACTAATTAGAAGCAATGCTTAATTTCAATGTTTAATTCCATAACCCTTATTTTCTATAAACCTATCCCTGATTAGCAACCTAATGCAGTTTTTAAAAATTTAATTATTGTGGATGCTGTTGAGCACTAATTAACAAAGGAAGGCTGTCAGGAATCAGATGCACTATTGTTAGCAACTCCTTTTCATTTCTGAAAAGCAATCACACAAATGAAGAATAACTCTGTTAGGAAAACAAGCCATTAATTGCATGACAGTGAAGCTCCCTTGAATATTTTACAAAGAATAGGTAAAAGAAAATAAAAATAATAAAACCTGCAACTAAATATAAAGTAAATGTTCTGCTATAGAAAGTCTATGCTTTGTGTTTGATTATTATAACCCTGCCTTCCTTATACCTCCCTAGTACACTTCCTCTTCCCAACTTCCATATACACACCTGCTTGCACTGATGGTCCAAATGGGAAATTGATGTGTTTCCCATTGACGACATTGATAAGAGGCTTTTAGATAAAACTTCCTTTAAAAAAACTGGAAGGAAGCAAGAATTTTAATAAGATGCTTCATAGAACAGAATTAGTTTCTGCATTGAGAAAATAGCCACTTCTGCTAAGCTAGTTAATTATTCCTTAATGTGGGTTGGCCAACATGGAAACACAATCTAAATGAAGTATTTATGATATTGGACAGATAGGAGGTCTGAATTGTAAAGAATTATGAAGATGATCATACTCAACCCTCTCGTCTTACAGAGGAGTCACCTCAGGCCCAGGGAAATGAAGTGACTTGCTGAAGATCACATAGGTCTTTGGTAGGAAATTGTTTGATGTGCTTTCTGTTACTCCCTATTCTGACCTCATGATTTGAAATAACTTCTAATTGTCTGAATTGGTTATATGCCTGTGGGATTTTAACCAAGAACCAGACTCCTCAATGTTTAAGAATGTATGCTGCCTCTTTCTTGTCACTAGGGGATTGCTTAACCAGTACATTTTGGGCTCTGGGGAAAGATAGCATATTGAGCCAGATTCCCCTGATGGTTGTTACACGACTTAGTTCTAAGATGGAAAACCTAAAGACTACACACTTGGGTATTTATTTGTTAAATAACACTTGATTGGCTTGATAGAAACAACACAGGTCTCAAAGCTAAGGAAAAACTTGTGATCTTGGAAGAATCTAATGACTAATAGCAGTAAGTTTTTAAAATTATTGGGGCCACCTAACACTTAGGCACATTCAATCATTCAACCAACCAATGTTTAATTCAGCATATACCCTAGACCTGGCATTCTTCTGAATGGTACACATTAGAGAACTAGATAGATAAAAATCCCAGCCCTTCTTACAGCTATTTCTAACAAGGGAGACAGACATTAATAATATACAGAACAAATGAGTTGCACAGTATGTTAGAAGGTGGTAAGTCCTATAAAAGAAAAAAAGAACCAGGATAAGGGAGCTCAGGAGTTTGTGAGGAGAATTGAAATTTTAAATAGAGTGATCTGTGAAGGCTGCATCTTCATTTTAATGGACCCAACATTCCCAAGTATGTCTGATGTATCTTACAATGCTGATAAATTAATCTTACCAAGACTTCTGATTATACCATTTCCTTGCTCAAAAATCCTTGATTCCCCATTGCCCAGGGAATAAAGTATAAGCTCCTTTTCCTGGCGTGCAAGGTCTTCACTATCTGGCTCAGTACTCTGTCAAACTCTTCCCTGCTCCCACCAACCAGACTACTCACTGTACTCTGGCCACAGCCTGCACTTTCTGCCTTGTAGGTTTTGTTTTCTTGCCCCATCCCTTTTCCATCTCTCTATTCCCTGACATTCTACCCAGTCTTCAAAATTCAGACAGAACACTTCCTTCCAGCAAAGCTTTCCCAGATCTTCCATCCCCAGAGTTCTTCCTCCTCTAATTCCTGTAATACGTGACTCCATGAATACTGCATTCAGTGGATACATTAGAGTTATACAAAGACTTAGTCCTTTGCTGGATTGTAATCTTCCTAAACACAGGAACCACCTCCTTTGATATCCTTAAAGTATTCAGCATAGTACCTTGCAAGAGTGATCTCAAGTAGCTAAGAGTTTCTTGACAATTTGTTTGTTTTAAATTTTAATTCCAGTATAGTTAACATACAGTGTTATATGAGTTTCAGGTGTGAAATACAGTGATTTGACAGTTCTATGTATTACTCAGTGCTCATCAAGATAAGTATACTCTTAATTTTGATATATAAGGAAAAGAGGCAAAAGTATTTAAGGATAGGTAACCAGACTGTGTCTTTAAAATCTGACTCTTCCTAAGAAAAATTCAAGGCCTCATCAGGGTACATAATGTTGAAAGTGCCAAGGCTGTTAATAGACAGCAGAAGACTGAAGACATAAAGGAAGTGTTGTCATTTAAAATTTTTGTTCCACTTAAATTTAAGTAATTAAAAATCAGGGACCAAATCCCACATTTCTACTATATTGAAGACCAAATTTTACTCATAGTAGGAGCTTAACTTAGATGGGAGAAGTTTTCAGTACTGTATTTTAAATTCTGAATGAAAAGACATTCCAAAAGAAATACATACCAGAATTATGTAAGTATACTTGCAAAAGGCACTTCATAATCTGCAAATAGAAGATGCTTGTTTTTAACACTTACTTTTATAAGGAAACATAATTTTATTCCTGAAAAATATTCTGGGTCACTTCTCCTCCAGTCCAAATCTTACCTGGCGAGACATGCAACACTTGGTTGTCTGGACCTCTGAGTATGACCCACTGGCCAATAACCCTGGGTGGAAAAAGAATGGAGCAGGCTTGATGGTGAATAGTCGATTTGGATTTGGGTTGCTAAATGCCAAAGCTCTGGTGGATTTAGCTGATCCCAGGACCTGGACCAGTGTGCCTGAGAAGAAAGAGTGTATGGTAAAGGACAATGACTTTGAGCCCAGGTATGTGTCTTTAGGAATTTTAAAGAAATGTGTGCCCATGGCAATATTTGATTATAACGTTTGTCACTCTGCCTAATTTTTTTCTCACCTACCCTTCTGAAGTAGATGGAGATAGCATTTGCCATAGTTCCCTGTGGGTCCATGGGAATCACTGAGAGATGGGAAATCTGCAAATCATATTAGCATATTTCCATTTTCCATTTCCTGGCCTATCTACTTTCAGTTCAAGATGTATCATTGTTTTATATATTACTAAGAAAAATCACTGCCAATTAAACTATTACCAATGATCAGTTTTAAGATTAATCCCCAATTCAAAGATGTTATGGTAATTTTTCAAAAAATGCATCTTAGAATTGATTAAATGTAGTACTTGTCAACCAGTATTATCCAAAACCTATTTCCAGAAGAGCCTCACTTCGTGCCACAGTACTGTGTGATTCATGATTTCTCTTTTGTGAAGGATCCTCTATCATACTGCTTTTACAGAGACTATATCCAGCTAAAGAAGCAGAATCTGGAATAACTGTTTTATTGATTCTATCAAGGCAACCATGATTTTACTAAAGACCCACTCACACAAAATATCTGAGGGTGGGAGCCCTGGGGAACATTCATTATGGAGATAGTATCATTTCTTAAGAGAGTCAATTGGAGTAATAATGGACCACTTTTTGATGGGTCCAAGGCAAACCTGCCTGAATTCAATTCCACAGCAAAAAGCATTGTATTCTTGTATCTGTGCTCCTTACCATTTTCTTTTCTATTTTATCTTCTTGTGGTAAGAACACTTAACATGAGATCTACCCTCTTTAATTTTTAAGTGTACAACACATTATTGTTGATTCTAAGTACGGTTGTTGTATAGCTGATCTCTAGAACGTATTCATCTTGCTTAACTGAAATTTTATGCCCGTTGATTAGTAACTCTCCATTTTCCCCTTCGCCTACACCCATGCAACCACAATTCCACTTTTTGAATCTATGAATTTGACTATATTAGATACCTCATGTAAGTGGAATTATGCAGTATTTCTCTCTCTGTGGCCTGTTTATTTCACCTAGCATAATGTCTTCAAGTTTTATCCATATTGTTGTACATTGAAGAATATCCTTTTTGTAAAGCTAACATTCCATTGTGTGTATATACCACATTTTCTTTATCCTTTCATCTGCTGATAGACATTTAGGTTACTTCCACATCTTAGCATTGTGAATAGTACTGCAATGAACACGAGATGTCTTCAAGATCCTGTTTGCAATTATTTTGGATAAATATCCAGAGGTGGTATTGCTGAATCATATGGTAGTTCTCTTTTTAATTTTTTGAGAAGCCTCTATACTGTTTTCAATAGTGGCTGTACCACTTTGCATTCCCACCAATTGTGCAAGGGTTCCAATTTCTCCACATCTCTTCCAACACTTGTTGTCTTTTGCTTTTCTTGGTGACAGCCATCCTGACAGGTGTTTGGATTTGCATTTTCCTGATGATTAGTGAAGTTGAAAATTTTTTCATATACCTGTCGGCCATTGGTATGTCTTTTTTAGAGAAATGTCTCTTAAAGTACTTGGCTCATTTTTAGTCAGGTTATTAATTTTCTTTTCTGTATTGAGCTGAGGCGTTCCTTATATACTTTATAAGTTAACCCTTTATCAGATACATCCTTTGCAATATTTTCTCCCATTTTGTAGGTTGTCTTTTCATTCGGTTGATGGTTTCCTTTGCTATGCAGAAGATTTTTAGCTTGACGTATTCCCACTTGTTTTCATTGCCTGTGCTTTTGGCATCTTAACCGTGAAATCACTGCCAAGACCAATGTCATGAAGCTTCTTCCCTATGTTTTCTTCTAGACTTACAATTTCAGGTCTTATGTTTAAGTCTTTACTCCATTTTGCGTTGATTTTTGTGTATGGCATTAGATATGCATCCAATTTCATTATTTTGCATGTGGATATCCAGTTTTCCCAACACCCTTTGCTGAAGAGACTCCTCTTTCCCCATTGAGTATTCTTGGCATCCTTGAAGATTAGTTGACCATATATGCATGGGTATAATTCTAAGTTTTTAGAGATTCTGTTACATTGGTTTGTATGTCTATCTTTATGCCAGTACCATACTGTTTTGATTACTGTAGTTTTGAAATATATTTTCAAATGAGGAAGTGTAATGCCTCCAGCTTTGTTCTTCTTTTTCAGGGTTGTTTTGGCTATTAGTAGTCTTCTGTGATCCATAAAAATTGTAGAATTTTTTTTGTATTTCTGTGAGAACCTTACATTTTTTATACTTTAAAATTTATTTATAGCTACTTCTGAATTGGGTTCTACTCATTAACAGGGAGAGACAACAAGCTTAGTTGAGTATCTAGTCAAGACTAATGTGTACATATTTGCCTAAAATGCAAAGAAGAAAAGATGTACTTTATTCAGTGATTTTTAAAAATGTATTTAGAGCCCTGAAAGGTAATGGAGAAGTTATCATTGAAATTCCAACAAGAGCTTGTGAAGGACAAGACAACGCCATCAAGTCCCTGGAACATGTGCAATTTGAAGCAACGATTGAATATTCCCGAAGAGGAGACCTTCATGTTACCCTTACTTCTGCTGCTGGTAAGCTTTTCAAAAACTTCTCAAGTTTAAATCATTTGTTTAAATTTTTAAGAGTATATTGATTTTTATTTTTTTAAATTTAATTTAATTTTATTATGTTACGTTAGTCACCATACAGTACATCATTAGTTTTTGATGTAGTGTTCCATGATTCATTGTTTTCGTATAACACCCAGTGCTCCATGCAACATGTGCCCTCCTTAATACCCATCACCGGGCTAACCCATCCTCCTACCCCCTTCTGCTCTATAACCCTTAATTTGTTTCTCAGAGTCCATAGTCTCTCATGGTTCATCTCCCCCTCCGATTCCCCCCTCCCTTCATTTTTCCCTTCCTTCTCCTAATGTCCTCCATGCTATTCCTTATGTTCCCCAAATAAGTGAAACCATATGATAATTGACTTTCTCTGCTTGACTTATATTGAATGATTTTTAAATCAATCATTTTCTTTTTATTTATACTACTGAGTTTCCCAGTAGATGTTTTTCAGGACTTAAAAAAATATGCTTATTTTTCATTTTTCTTGGCATCAGAACTCTGCCTGCTCATTCCCACTGGTCCTTTGATAAGCAGAGAATGAGGTCTATTCAAATAATATCAATTAATAAACCTTTCTGGAGTTACACATTTTTAAAATGTTTCCATTTTCCCAGACCACTGATCTATCATTCATTTCTCTTAGGTAACACATTAGTGAAAGTTTCTCTGATAGTTAATTAATAACGCTGACAGATATATCAGACACATCCTAGGAATCAACTGAAAAATTAGGAATTCTGATCCATGAAAGAGGACTGAGAAAACTAACAAATATTCCATGATGATATCCTAAAGGCCATATGATATTATATACAGGCAATTGCCCTTTCCTGAGAAAGTACTAACTCAAATTAGATCATGGATGGGGAAGAGCTTATGAACCATAAACTATAATCCAACCAGGAAATGCTTCCTAATCCTCTTTCATGTTTTAGTAGGATTCACCTGACTAAATTTGATTGCTATAGGCTATGTATGAGGAAAGATGAGCTCTCTTTATCATCTCCTTCGAGGATATAAACTTCCTAGAGATTTGGACTGGGCTCTTAATTTTGGAGTTATCCTTTCTAGATATATTGGAGTTGGCCTGAAGTGTGGGTGGAATGTTTTCTCATTGGTGGCCCTAGAGTTAACTTGACCGTTTCACTTAGATATACAGAGAGCTTGAATTTGAAAATTTAGAGTTAACAACTACTACTAGTTTCTATATGACAAGAGATTACTAAATTGATATAGCTTTATTTTTTTAGGTCTACACTAAATTATAGGCTCAGGCACCAGTTAAATTTGCAAGACTTCTCTTAAATTTAAAAATGGTAGTTCCACTAAAATGTACTTTAGGTCTTTGACTCTATAGTTTATAAATGTAGTTCTATGAGCTCTCCTTATTCAAATAAACCTTAATCAATAAATTCATTCAATATTTTGCCAAAATATTTATTGAGAATTTGCTATATGCCAGGCAATATGCTAATTATTATGGATAAAAACATTTTTTTAATGAATGTCTCTATCTTGGTCTTATACAAAAAGGGAAAATTAGGAGGGCTAATCTCTCCCATTTTTCATTTTCAATTAGCAAATGCTAGAGTATATCCTATTCTCAGAGTCGTTAGGACATTCATTAACTGATGTTTGTTGCATGAAAATAGGGACCAGCACTGTACTGTTGGCTGAAAGAGAACGGGATACATCTCCTAATGGCTTTAAGAATTGGGACTTCATGTCTGTTCACACGTGGGGAGAGAATCCCATAGGCACCTGGACTTTGCGAATTACAGACATGGTAAGTATAAATGAAAAGATAGACGACCACAGGCTCACTTTTAAACAGTTTGAAGTACTTTAAGGTTGGTATCATCATTAATCAAGGCCCTAAGGAACTCTGGTCACCCCCTAGTAAAGTAAGGAAAAGGTGTAGTGTTTCAATCTCTGCCCACTTGGCTTTATAGATTGGTTGAATTGATTGATTAAATAAATAAATAAATAAGCCATACTATAAGAAAGAAAAGAAGATACATTGGTTAATAATGTTACAGTGTAACAAATACAAGTGTTCCAATGTCAGAATGCAGCAAGCCACAGGACCTGCTCAGCCACCAGAATCACCTGTACTCACAAAGATAGTTAAATGTTACAGCAGCTTTGCTATGACATTCTGCTGGGGTCACATGAAGAAACTCTTATGGATATTTACTGCAGTGGCTATTTACTTGTTAGAGAAGATGTGTTATTTAATATGACTTCTTTGTTTTGTTTTGTTGCAGTTATGAAACAAACGAAAAGAATTTCTCATTTCTCTTTCACTCTGTTTACTAATACTCTTCGGTATCTTTCTGAAATTGTAACTCACAGTGACAAAAATAGAGTAAGGAGTGTCTGAACAAAAAGCCAAAAACATCTGAATTATCTACTTTTGATCATTTCTCCAGCATTTTCTACAGGCTAAGCACATAAATGAATAGGGCTCTGGGTCTGCCCTTTCCCAAGATAGAAGTGTTACAAGTTCAGCACCAGATTTCAAAGTCTAGATGACTATTTAAAAAGAATTTGTTTTAAATTCCTGAAGATTTCCATTAAATTAATACAAGTTCTATAGTCATTGTTCCCTTTTTAATTTGAGAATAGCTTTCTCCTAAAGACTGCTAACATTGTGATTTAGAACCAGAATCTGTAAAATTCCTGCGTCCCTAAGGAGAGCAAGAAAATGTTCTTAGGAAGTGGTCCTATTCTTGAACTTGACCTCTGTTCTTTAACTCAATTTTTTTTAAGGTTTATTTATTTATTTATTTATTTTAGACAGAATGAGCGGGCAGGAGTGGGGGGGCGGTGGGCAGAGGGAGAGGAGGACAGAATCTCAAGCAGACTCCTCACTGAGCACGGAGCCCATTGCGGGGCTCCATCTCACCATCCTGAGATCATGACCTGAGTTAAAACCAAGAGTCAGATGCTTAACTGACTGCACCACCCAGGCACCCCTAACTCAATTTTTAAGAAAACTAAGAAAATCTGTTTATCAAGATGAGACTACTTTATATCAGGTCTGTAAAATCTGACTCTGCACTTCTGGATTTTTTTTTTTTTAGATATTTTACATTTCAGCATATTATTTTTAGCATAATTGTTGAGGGTCTGAAAATTATTACTCTTCCCATAAATATACAGCTTTCAAGGGCTGGTTAATACTAAAGGCTATCAAATAAATAGAGGCTTTTTTCCCCCCATTGGAATGTTTCTACAAATTGATAATTATTAAATATCATTCTATTTATAGAAGGTACAGTCAACTTTCCAAGAACAGAATAGAAAAGAACATTCATATAAAGAGTTTTGCTTTTTTAATCAAATGAAGCAAATAATCAGGCTTTAAATCCTTAAACCTGTAAACTGCCATTTTCATGGCAACAGTGAATCCAGTGACTTGCTTCTTTGTACATAGTGCTCTACCCATGCAATGTGCTGAATTTTTAAATTAGATTTTATAGTTATTCCTACGGAGTTTGATGTTTCTTAGAACACACCCTAAAATTATGTGTATGCTTATTCATTAGTCTGGAAGAATGCAAAATGAAGGAAGAATTGTCAACTGGAAGCTGATTTTGCACGGGACCTCTTCTCAGCCGGAACACATGAAACAATCTCGTGTGTACACATCCTACAACACCGTCCAGAACGACAGAAGAGGGGTGGAGAAAATGGTGGATCCAGGGCAGGTCTGTGTGGCTCCGTTCTTGAGTGTTCTTGGCACACTCTTTCTTTGAACCATAGTCAAAATGTAGTGAGGGGAGCTAGATCTAACTTTCAAGCATGGAGTGAGTCAAGCATGGGTGGAGAGGAAAGGGAAGGGAGTGCTAAACTATTTTCCATAAAAGTCTAATGTTTTTTTAAGTTTATTCTTTTGTCCAGCATTTAGAAATCAAAATTACTGAATTCAAAATTATGAAATTCTCTAACATGACTTTTCTCCATTTATGACATAACAAATTATAAAGCCAGCTCTCTTTATGCACAATCACACATGCCCAATGTCTGTATTACACTTAGTTTTTAAGGATTTTTTTTTACATTGTCTCATTTAATCAATGATCCCTGTACCTAGAGAAGACAGGCATTAGTATGTTCATTTTCCAGAAAGAAAACCAAGGCTCAAGTGACCAAGTCCTGTAAGCTTCTGTTTATTAATTCCTTAACGGACATTTCTTGGCAGCTCTGAGGGAAGCTACTGAATCACAATTTCTCTGAGAAAATTTCATAGGATAGCTAGTCAGTCATTCCCATTCCTGTGTCTCAGCCCACTGAGGTTACAGGCTTCTCCCTTATCAGACAGTGGGCAGGCACCCCATTTTCTTTATCTCTTAATCCCCCAGCATCTAGCACAGTGCCTCAGATATAGGAGGTAGGTTATCAGAATTCCCAGAATGAGCTTTCCTGACATTTGACTCAGTGACGGGTATTTTGGAAGATACAAAGACATAAAATTTATTTAAGAAACTTATAAACTAGCTGTGTGAAGTCCTCAGCTCAGATTCTGGCTCCATTTATATTCTGCAAAGTAGTTCCCCCCTCCCCCGGGGGCCCCACCCAAGGGCCTCACTTCACTATCCCAGAGGCAAGTTGACTTTATGAGTATTTCTCCCTCCAAGATTCCTTAAGGGCTATTAATAAGACCCGGTAGTTGTGAAAATGTTGAATACTTCCACGATGGTTGACAAAGAGCTGCTTCTCCACTATCTCCAGTTCTGCCCTACCCGGTTCATCACCCTCGTCTTTCCCAAGACCCCTTTTTAAAACTCAGAGGCTGAAAGGGTAGCTCCTGACAGAACATGGGGCCTCCAGGAAACTTCTTGCACATGAAGCACGGTTAGTGCCTTCTGTGTGACTTATTAAATATTTTAATATCAACTTCCTCCCAAAATATGGGCAGGGAGGAAAGGGAGTGGGAAAGGTCAGCTATTTTCTTTCCATAAGATGAAGCTGTATTATTTTTAAATTTTTTTCTTTCATCCAGAATTTATCAACTTAAATTACAGAATTCAAATTTATTAAATTCCCTAAAATGAATTCTACTAGAGCAGGCAGACAAGTGAAGGAGAGTAATACATACATCATCTCTTTCAGTCTTCAAAACCACCAGACATGAAAGTATTCTTGTCCGCATTTTATAGGTGAAGTTCAGGGAGATAAAACAGGTGTCAGGGGTACATCAGTAAGTATAAAAGTGAGGACCGAACCCCGAGTTAGGATGTTTCTTAGGCCTCACACTCTCTCTGCTTCTCCAACAGTCTCCCAAGGAGTAGGCAGTGGGCATGGGCTGCATCTGGCTTGCTTGGCTCTAAAGAGGAATCTTCTTCCTTTTGTCGGTGGCATTCTGTGTTTTAGGAGCAGCCCACGCAAGAGAACCTGAAAAAGAACCCCCTCACATCAAAAAGCCCCAATGGCGACAGTTCAGGGAGCAGAAGGGATGAGGTGGTGAAGGCAGCCCCATCCGAGGCCATGCTGAGACTCCTACAAAGTGCTTTCAGCAAAAACTCACCCCCAAAGCAATCACCAAAGAAGTCTCCAAGTGCAAAGCTCCATATCCCTTATGAAAATTTCTATGAAGCCCTGGAAAAGCTGAACAAGCCTTCCCAGCTTAAAGACTCCGAGGACAGTCTATATAACGACTATGTTGATGTTTTCTATAACACGAAACCTTACAAGCACAGAGATGACCGGCTGCTGCAGGCATTGGTGGACATTCTGAGGGAAGAAAATTGACATCAGTGTGTGGTCCTGAGTTGGAAATATTCACGCTTCCTCCTTTCCCTTAGATTTTTGTCTGTGTCTGAAGTGGTCGTTTTGGCCGTTGGTTCTTATGCTTATAATATTCTTTTGTGGTACTTTTGCTTTTGCTCCCCAAACTAGACATGTGAAAGGGATGAGCTCAGGTTAAAAATCCCACTTCCTGAATTGATCATGACTCCTTCAAAACACATCTTCCCCGCATGCACAAGTGAAATGTTTTGTTCTTTATGGAGCCACAGTTCATTTCGCTTGTGGTCCTCACGCCACACTAGAATGCTTCCTTGAGCCCTCCCATTTCATTTCTCAAAAGAAAAGGCATCCCCCAGGTCAGAGATTCATTTGAAGAAGTAATCTGCAAAGATTGAGAGCAAATAAAACTGCTCCTATAACTTGTCTCCTGTCTTTTCCACGTGGTTCTTTGAGTTGTGAAGCCCAACAGGGTTGGAAAGTTTCTAATGGAAGAGTTCACAATTAGACCCATACCCTTGGCTTTTCTACCCTCTAGCACTACTCATTCAGGGAGCGGCCATTTGGTCATTTTGGGGAGAAGCTGAGTCATTGAGATCCAGAAACAGTCCTCCAAATCTGTGTTATGTGGTATGAGCAGTTTTAGACCATTTTTCTTGGCTTGGTGTGCTGTGTAGAGGCCTCTGTGACTCTAAAGTTGACCAGGACTTGTGTGTGCTTTGGTCTTCCTCCCTTTCCCCTTATGAAGGTTTTTGTTACCTATTTCCTTTCTCAGCCACAAGCTGAATACTGAGAGAACTAATTCATATTACTTTCTTAGAATAGAACTTATACTTGGGACTTGGCAAATTCCTAGTCATATTTTTTCAACGATACTAACAGGAAACCACTCATGACACAGAAAACCAATGTAAACAGGAAAATATTTATAATGGAGAGAGCCAAGGGAAGATTTTGTTGGTTTTTTAAATTGTATTCATTTGAACAGGTTTTCTGGATCTTTAAAACTAAGTGTTCATTCCTTACCACTAACGGCTCTTTCCCAATGTTACAACTGATAGCATTCAAATATTTACTCAATAGCTTCCAGGATTCAACTCAAGAGGACACAAACTGGCAGTCCACAGGCCCCATTTGTCCCTCAGGCAGATTTTGTTTGGCATGTCAAATGATTTATAAATATGAGTGATTCCTGAAAATATGAAATTTCACATAAAACTTGATTCTCAGACCCATTTTCCCTCCTGGCAACAGTTGGCTAGCATTGAATAGCGTTGAAATCTGCCCAGCTAGATTTGAGTGCAAGGTCCCCGAGTTGTCCTGCTCCGTGTTGCTCACAGTGGCTACCTTACCGGTCAGCACCCAACAAGAATTTCATTTTTTGCCACTGCTGCACGAAACAACACAAAGTGTAAATGCATTCAGGAAAACAAACAAACAAACATCTACTTCTTTCAGGTAGGATATGTATAACCAATAACTATGAGAACTTGCCATGATCTGGTTAATTTATAGGTGGGGAAAAATGATATTTGAGACCCCGGAAAGTACCTCTGAAATCTAGCTTGATATATTTGTTTCATCTCGCCTCCCCTGGATGCCATTTATACTGAATTCATTAATTGCTAACCCCTAGCTTCCCAATTTCTAGGCGCTCACAAAGGTTCCAGTCATCTACGATGTTGGCCTTCTCCCATTGCATTTGCTGTTTGTAATTCTTCCCTAAAGTTGGAACTTCAGAAAGCCACACGTGAACTAGACCAGAAAGAGAACACTAGAGTCTGTCACTTGCTATGGCTTGAAGTGTGGTGGGTAAGACCAAGTTTCACCTCCTAGCCTACCATTTGTATTTGTGCACAAGCGAAGTATTTGCAGAGCAATCCCCAGGATGCTTCAAGGATGTTCTCCTAAAACAACTGCAGTGTCACTCTATCCTTAGAAGTTCCACATGTTGTTTGATACAAAGTGTTGGACAGAATTTTGAAAATTGCAGCACATCAAAAAAGTATTAAAGCCAAAAAGGATCAGAGAGTTATTAGGTAAGTTGTCAACTAAAAAACAAAGCTAAGGCCCAGAGAGGCCAATGAATGGTAATAAACAAAAACTCATCGTTTCCCCTTTCCTACTTTCATGCTCACTGTATGAAGCTTTCTTTTTTATCCTTCTAACAGTATCTTTTCCTGGTTGAAACCCCAACCAACTCATTGGACTGTAGCCAAAGTTTCACTCTAGAGAAGCTTTAATATTTAAATAAAGTCATGTTTGAATGTTTCCAACCTGGAGTATATTGTTCAGGCATAAAATATTTTTGTCAGTCTTTCTTAGTGCCTGTGTGGATTTTTGTGAAAATGTAAAAGAGGAAACTTATATAATATTTCCCTCAGAATTTTAAACTCTATTTTCTTTACAGGTGTTTATAATGTACCGATGCTTTTATCAGAATTTTAAAAGGCATAATAAATTATATTAAAGAACCAAAAATTTCCTGAGAATAAGAAAGTTTCATCCAATAAAATATTTTTGAAAGGCATGTTCCTCTGTCAGTGAAAAAAAAAAAGTATAATATGTATATGTGTTGTGATATTAAAAGTGACATTTGTCTAATAGCCTAATACAATGTGTAGCTGAGTTTAACATGTGTGGTCTTAGCATCTTTAAGGGAACTCCCACATTATACACTTGATGTATTAACCAGAATATGTAAAATATGCTTATACATCAGAAGAATAAATGGTTTCTCACTAAGTCAAAAAGGAAAAAGTTCATGTTTCCAACAAAAACATGTCCTCTTACTGTGTTTCCCAAATGAACTGTAAAAAAAGAAAAGTTGAAAGTTTATATTAAGATGTTAATTCCTTTTGAGAAAAATGGGCTTTCTCAAAGGCAATTTAAGAATTTACCTTAGTAAGTATGTTTCATTTTCCTTCATAGCTCAGTCTTTTCCTTTTTTCAGAACATTCAAACTTGTATGACTGAGCCTTCACTGAAGTGTTGAGGAAAAAAAGAAAAACAGAAACTAAAGGGGCTGACTATGTGTGAAAGGACTTGCAACAATTCCTCAAAAATGACTTATTTAAAGGCCAGATACAGTAGCTCAACATTCAATTCTCCCCGGAGGTCACTTCATTAGAAATTCCCAACTTCCAACTTTGATCTCCCATCCTCAGGCCCACATTCCTCTCTTGCTTCAACCTCCATCACTGGAATGTCCACCTTGCTGCTTCAGAATCTGACCTCTTCCTCCCAGGGGGGGTTGGTTTTTCCCCAGACTCCATTCCTTTCTCCCAAATCATACATACTCAGTCAAACTAAATGATTTTTCAAGAATTCCAGAAGAACGGTTCTATCTGGCTTTTGTCCTTGAAATCCAGCCATCTTCAAAGTCTACCCACTATGAGGGCTGAAGATAGCTATTTTCTTTTGAATGCCCATGAGGTAACTTTTACATTAGCCATGTGCAGGCTGCAAGTTCAAATCCAAATACATACTGAGATAAATGTTAATTCTCAAATACAATTTCAAATCCATAAGGAAGAAGAGTAAGGTTTTCCTAACTGCCTCCTAATTTTTCAAGGCTATAGTACTAATACACATGATGATGATAATGATTTACTCGACCCCTCACAGCCCCCGCAGACAGAGTGTAGTTTCCTGGGCCATCTAGGTTGAGTTTGACCCTGTGATTTGTTTTGGCCAATGGACGTGATGTAAACAAAGACCTTCGATGTGCTTGCACAGTTTGGCTTGGCTCTTGCTTTCCAGTATTCTAGTGCTATGAGAGGAGTATATGCCCCAGGGAATTACTGCCCCGACAGCCTGTTTCCAGAACAAATGTATATGGAGCAGACCCACATTATGCAACCAAATCCAGCCAATTCACAGCACACAACAGAGTGGTCCAGATGAGGGCTGCCTAAATAAGTTGAACTTGTCACTATGGCAACTTAGGAGAATGAGAATAAATACTTGTTGGAAGCAACTGAGTCTTGAGGTAGTTGGTCATGCAGCCTTATGAGCCAACAAAACTGACTAATACAATAGAAGTTCCATTTGTTCATTCTATTACCAATACCATCCCTCTCTTTCAAATTGTGCCTTCCTGAGTCTAGAGCACACATACAAAAAAAGTTAACATTAAATCATACACTTCTGAATGCTGATCCCATAGCTAAACAAAGACCTTGCCCAAATTTTGAAATTTTCATTTTTAAAAGGTATGCCTTAGCTTAGTTCATCCTGAAATCAGAGCTAAGATAATGAATAACTTTCGTACGGGTAATTTATTTAGGAGGTAATAGTAGAGAGAAGTGATCACACATACCTGAGACTTGCATGAAGTGACACTGATCAGCCCAAGACTTCCCAAAGTCTAGAACTGATGTTTCAACTGATAATGGCATTGGTAGAAGGTAATTCAGAACCAACACCTGTGCTCTCCTTACTCCCCCATTCCTACACCATCCAATGTCTTGATACTTCGATTATTCTCTCTCAGAAGTTAGATGCAACCTTAGGGCAAGGAAAAAAACTTGATTGGCTCAGATCAAGTTTACACTACTTATTAGAAAGGCAATACTTAATAGAAACAAAGATCTCTTATAAAAAAAAAAGGAAGTTATTTTTCCTCACCTGGGTTTTGGCTTGCAGTCTGTGTATTTGTATAGTCTGCATTACCTGAATATTGCTATATATAGATATTATGAAAGCATTACTCTATCATCAACGTATGACAAGGAATTGACTATAGTTATTAGTCATGGCATGTCTGAGGGAAGCAGAAATCACTTCCCTGTTTTCTTTTCTTTTTTTAAAAAAGATTTTATTTATTTATGAGACAGAGAGAGCATGAGCCGGGGGACAGAGGGAGAGGGAGGAGGAGACTCCACCCTGAGCAGGGAGCCCGACATGGGGCTCGATCCTGGGATGCTGGGATCATGACCTGAGCTGAAGGGAGACACTTGGCCAACTGAGCCACCCAGATGCCCCACATCATCACTTCTTTTCCAGACACCACCAGGGCCCAGCCCAAAACTAGTTCTTGGAGAGGGTCTAGCACTCTCCCTACTTCCTGCACAATTTTCAGTTTATAGCAGGTGTCACTTGCGTGTTCCACAGCAGTGTGCCAGTTTGTTTTGGAAGATGTAACGCTTTTTGGATAGTACAAATTTTGAACCAAAATTCTTAAGGGGCTTGAAGTGAAAGAGAGGTGTTGGACTATTTCAAGTTATCTTACCAGAGAGAACCAGAATGAAGAAAACCCACTGGTGAGATCTTATCTTTTCCAACAGAGTTCTAACAGGTGGATCAAGCCCACCTTGTTTATCTGAACATTCAGTCCGCGGCTCTGGTCATTCCTCACCAGCATCTACTAAACATGAATGAATGGTTCTGAATCTGCTGCCACTTTGTTAATGACATTCTATTTACTTACAGAAACCAAAAGGCCATCAGCCTTAAGCTTATCAATTGATTGATGTAAATGATATTGTTATAATCATTAAAGATCCCCCCAAAAGTCTGAAAATGTAACACCAATACAAAGTGGCTAGAGGTGTGGGCTCTAGAGCCAGCCACAAGTGAATCTGAATCCTGGCTCTCTCGTCTCCCAGTTGTGTGCCCTTAAACAGGTTACTTCATCTCACTGGGTCTTATTTCCTCATCTATAACAAAGAAGTCTACCACTTAGAGGTTTGCTATTAGGATTGAATAAGATAGTGCAGATAAATAATTTAGTGCAGCTCCTGGACCTAGTAAAAGTTCAATAAATGTTAGTTTTTATTATTAGTGAGACTGCTGCTCTTATTATTGTGGTGTCGTGAAAAGAAAATGGATTTTAGAGCCAAACAGATTCAAATTTGTAGCTCTTACCTACAAATTCGATACAAAAGAAAACATTGGCATCCGTGAAAAAGACAGGAATACCATCACTGGTCAAGATGGTGTTGCTTGGGCAATTGTCATTCCAATGCGAAACTTCTTCTCCTAAGGTCACACTGGAATTCATTTAACAGTAGCAATGCAGAGTGACTGCAATGCCAAGAGAGTGCTCAGAGTGACAGTTGGCACTAAAAGAGCAGTTACCCTAGGCCAGGGAAAGTCAGAGCTGACAAGTAAAGAGCAAGGAGGTATCAAGAAAAGGAAGTCATTTGTTTAATCTTGTCTTATGTCCAATCTTTTTCTTGTGGAATGAGTTGGAGTACCAGTTTTCAAATATAAACATTTTATCCAGCATTGAGAAGTATTTATATTAAAAACAATGAAAAGTAATGAGTTCTTAACTATATTCACAGCACAGTACATTTTCTAACTGAATTCTCTTAAAGATTATAAAACAAATAGGAGATAAATAATGTTATTGTCCCTGTATTGTAGAAAAGAAAGTTGAGGCAATGAGAGGTAATGTGGTTTGTTCAAGGTCACACAGATACTCAGTGGTAGAGATGAGATTTTAACTGGGCAGTTATTCCAAAATCCAGGTTGTATACCTTATGTTAGCAAGACAAAAAGGTGATGTAACATTTTAAAAGATATTTATAGTATGACAAATCAAATGAGCACTGTACATCTTATACTATCAATTCTTTTCTGCTATTTGAAATAATAGAAATAACTTTTATTTCATTATACTACAATATATTAAACACATATATTGTATATTTTCACAAGGATGAGTTAATTCATGAGAATAAGATCTACTATTTCTAATGTTTGCATTATTCTGCAAGTGAAGTGCTTTTACAGATATAGAAACTGAGATTGAGAGGTTAAGTCACCTGCCCAAAGTCATATGGATAAGCCAAGATTTTAAAACTAGTCTCTCTGACCCCATCTTTTCACTATGTTAATCTGTTTATAACTTTACATCTAGATTGTTTGAACTGATGTCTTAATAGGCAATCTCATGCTTCCAGAAACAACTAGATTTTATATTGCTTCTTTACTTCCAATTTTAGAAACCCCAATAAATATAAAAGTGATACAGAAGCTGTCCTTGTCAGTCATCACTCCTTGACCTATCTTGAAATAAACCAAAGTTCTTCTCTTAGGGGAGCAACAGGCCAGCCCAACAGCTCAGGCATCGTTTGAATCAAAAATCAACCTCATATGAATTTATGTGTAGTGCAGACCCAGAGCTGCCAAATCATATTGAGAATTAGAATATTACAGTCTAGGCACAAACTCCCAGAGTTTTCTACTATGTTAGGGCCTTCTATTTCCCTTCCCATTCCTGGGCCTTCCTACGTTGATGCTAATTTGCCCTTTGTTTCCCCAAAGTGCATTCTGCAGCATATTGATCAGTGGGGTCTGTGTGCGTGTATGTGTGAGTGTGTGTGTGAGTGTGTGTGTGTGTGTGTGTGTAGAAAAAGGATTTCCTGGTCATGTACGTTTGTAAAGTCCTGAATTAAAAATGAAGATTTTCATATTTCTTCACTGTATTTTTCAGAAATCCTTTTAATATACTAGAGTCCATTGTAACTCTCCAAGATGTGGATGCATTTCTCCAGACAGAATCACTTTTTCCTGGATCTTCTTCCAGGACCACTGTTAACTCACTTGGGTAGACATTATCTTCCAGCTTTCTCCAGTTGATAATTTCCCAGTTTGATTCCGGGTTCTATCAGAAGTAAGGCTTATGATCCCCACATGCCTGATCATTTCTGAAAGCTCACAGCTCATGCCTTCTCCTCCCCTCAGTGCAAAATGCTGCAGTGCCAGTCAGCTGACAGAAAACAGGTGCCA